AAACCAGTTAGTACCATAGATACTTAAATAAAGCCATAAAATGTCAAAAATTAGGTCATTGTGACCTATTTTTTGGACATCTTTCTCCGAAAAACCCAAGATGCATCAACTTACAAAGTTTGATGATTCTAAGCCAATAAATACCTAAGATACTTAAATAAAGCCATAAAATGTCAAAAGTAGGTCACTGTGACCTACTTTTTGGTCGTCACTTCGAAAACCTAAGACGCATCAACTCACAAAGTTGTTGATGATTCTAAGCCAATAAATACCTAAGATACTTAAATAAAGCCATAAGATGTCAAAAATTAAGTCACTGTGACCTACTTTTTGGTCGTCACTCTCCGAAAACTCAAGATGCATCAACTCACAAAGTTTGATGATTCTAAGCCAATAAATACCAAAGATACTAAAATATAGCCATAAAATGTTGAAACTAGGTCTTCGTGACCTATATTTTGGTCGACAATTTTTAAAGTCACAAGATACATCTGCTGACCAAGTTTGATGATCCTAGGTCTGAAGGTAATCAGAATATGCCTTTTAAACAATTCGAAAACAAATGCCTGCAAAATTCAAAAAGTAGGTCACAGTGACCTACTTTTTCATAAATATGTTTTAAGGTCCCAAGATGCATCAATTTACAAGATTTGATGATTCTAAACCTCTCAGTGTCTGAAATAATAGGATTAAATGTTTTAAAAAGAATTAGTCATAAAGTTCAAAAAGTAGGTCACGGTGACCTCCTTTTAAGCTGACATTGTTCAAGGACCCAAGATGCATCAACTGACAAAGTTTGATGATCATAGGCCTTAAAGTGCCCGAAATATGCCTTCAAATCAACTTGAAAACAAATGCCCACAAAATTTGAAAAGTAGGTCACCGTGACCTACTTTTGAGTTAACATGATGTGAAGTCCTGAGATGCATCAACTTACAAGATTTGATGATCCTAGTCCTAATAGTAAGCAAAATATAAACGTTTTTATTATTTGTAAATTTAGGTCAACTTTGAAGTGACCTTGAGAACACGCCCTTTGCCCGAGGGTCATGCCTTGAACAATTTTTAATCTTCAACATATCCTGATCCTTGTATGTAAGTTTGGTGAAAATCTGCCTGGTGGTTCTGGAGAAGAAGATTTTTTAGCAACCAGTACTTTTGGTTTTGTTTTCCTGATTATCTCCCCTTGTTTAAGGGTTCAAACCCTTATTTTAGTATACAGGGTAGCCCTTGGGCCAAGGATACCCTGTGACAAATTTGACACTGATTGGCCAAGGGGTTCTTGAGTTATGGCCCATATTCTAAAAAGTTAACACACACCGCACACTGCACAAATGGCCATAGCATTAGCTCTTTGAGCCTTTGGCTCAGAAGAGCTAAAAATATCAAAATTTGTTAGGGTTTTAAGGGCCAAGCGAGTAATCATTAAGAAAATTTCTAGGTGTAGGGAATATTCATGTAAGTTTGTTCACTTTTTCTACAATGATCTGCCTACTTATAAGTGATTGTAGCCTCAAAGCAAAATTGTGAAATTTTATCTCCGATTAGCGACCTTTATTTTGTCAGTTCAAAGGATCGGGTTATTTTGATACGTGTAACTCATACTGGCTGGGACTTGACACCTGTTCTGGATTAATACGGAATACGGATTTTTTAGCAACCAGTACTTTGGGTTTTGTTTTCCTGATTATCTCCCCTTGTTTAAGGGTTCAAACCCTTATTTTAGTATACAGGGTAGCCCTTGGGCCAAGGATACCCTGTGACAAATTTGACACTGATTGGCCAAGGGGTTCTTGAGTTATGGCCCATATTCTAAAAAGTTAACACACACCGCACACTGCACAAATGGCCATAGCATTAGCTCTTTGAGCCTTTGGCTCAGAAGAGCTAAAAATATCAAATTTGTTAGGGTTTTAAGGGCCAAGCGAGTAATCATTAAGAAAATTTCTAGGTGTAGGGAATATTCATGTAAGTTTGTTCACTTTTTCTACAATGATCTGCCTACTTATAAGTGATTGTAGCCTCAAAGCAAAATTGTGAAATTTTATCTCCGATTAGGGACCTTTATTTTGTCAGTTTAAAAAATCGGGTTATTTTGATACGTGTAACTCATACTGGCTGGGACTTGACACCTGTTCTGGATTAATACGGAAGAAATTTATCGTGGGAAAAATTGAGATCTGATGGTTCATGAGTAGCACAGCTCTGTAGTACGCAGATTTTTTTTTTGTCGGAGCCCCCCCCACACACACACACACATTAAAAGCCGTTGCTACAGACCTTTATCAAACGATATTTAGATTGCTGAAATATTAAATTATTTTGCGAGCCTTAATGCACAAATTAAAACTACCGGTAATGCCGGTGAAAACGCGCTTTATCTTTTTAAAGCTATCTCTATTCGCTGAGTGACGTTTTTCATTCAAGTTGTACATGTAACTTAGTTACATGTATCTGTATAACTGTAACTTCTTAAAATGCTTGTACCATAGAAACAATGTTAAGTTTGTATATAGAAGTATAATATGTAAAAGAGAGAAAATCGGATCTGCCAATGAATATGTAAATGCGATATGCAGATTTAAAAGCGCGATTTGCCAATGAATGGCATATTTTAATTCGAAGAGGGCGAAGTATTCTATGGGCAAGTTACCTAAGGTGCAAACTCTCTAGCATTCTCGTGCATGCGTAGCCTGTTGTTTGCCCAGGGCATCCGGTTTAACCTCGCTTATATATTTACTGCATGGACCTCAGGGCCCAGGCAATGACAATAGAGAGAATGCATGTGACACATGAAAGCCCCAAGAAGTTATTAAATATACACCTTGCATCACTTTTCAGTTGACATATACATCTTCTACTTAAAACAAGAGCCCAGTTTTCATTTAGCTTCTTGTAGCACATTTGACAATGTTCTTATTTATCTACTGTAACAGTTGGATGACCATCTACCTAATGTTTGAATGAAAGGATCCTCAATACCTCAGCTGTAGCTGCAGATGTTGCTGCCCCCAATTCTAAAAGAATGTCTGTAGTATTTCTGATCATCTTAGTTTAAAATTTGTAACATGTGTTGTAACATCCCTATAAATTTTCTCTTTACAAAATTTCACATATTCATAAAGAATTACAAGACCTCATCTGAATAAATTGAATCATGGATGTGACAGGGTATAAAGGTGGGGCATTGAAGACTCGTATCTGTACACCTGATCTGAAAGGATTTGTGCTTGACTTTGTAAGATTCAATGTATATAACTAGAGTGATCCAGAGCAAGACATACATGTACATCATTAAGCAAAATGCATTCATTTGTGTCTTTCCTATTTCTATCTATGAAAACAAGAGGCCCATAGGCCTCATCGCTCACCTGGGCACATTGGCTAGAAAAAAAAAAAAACACAAATCAGTTCAGTATTGAAAATAAGAACTTGAATTTAACACTACCTCAGAAACTGCTTCCATATCAAAAACAATGGCTTTGCTGTTCTTGAACAGAAGATTTTTTCCTATATATTCCTTTGTAAAAATTTCATCCCATTGTGCCCCTCTCTACCCCCTGGAATTATAATTTGAACAAAAGTGAATCTACACTACCTAAAGATCCCTCCATATCAAAGTAAATAAACATCGCTTTTCCATTCTACAGACTAGGATTTTTCCAAAAAATTCCTTTAAAATCTTCATTTATTGTACACGGCACTGCCCTACTCTTGGTGGTCATGTTTTGAACAAATTGATTCTAAGGATAAAAAAACTGTGGCAAGTTTGGTTGATATTGGCCCAGTAGTTGTTGAGAAGAAGTCGAAAACGACATAAGAGAATTAATAAAATTTTAATTTTTAAGTTCTTTAATGAAGGTTAAAAAATTAACATTTAACCGGGAACCACAGATAATGCCTTTTGAGACTTCTTCTTTAGTTCAGATAGGTCATATAGTTTCTTGGTAATAGATAACAGATAATTTCCTTTGTTTGGAATACGTGCCTGTGTCTGATCCAACATTCCAAGCAATCCTGGTAGTGTGACCCTTAGATGTATTATCCATGCAAGCTTGGTCATCATAGAGCTCATAGTTACTTGGAAATGAGACCTGCACCAAACAAATCATGTTTGTGAAACACTGATGCCCCCATATGGCATCACAGCGAAAATTGTTGGTACCAAAAGTAGGATATTCTCACTGGAAATACAACTGTGAAATATGAAAGAAGGCCAAGATTAAAGTTTTTTCATAAGTATTGAAATCCTCAAGGTCAAGGTCCCAAGACAAAGGTAATTGGTATCCAATGAAAGGTCTTGCCACAAAGAATACATATGTAAAGTATGGAAGCCCTAGCCTAACCGATCAGAAGTTATGGCCAAGGTTAATTTTTTTTATAAAGTATGTCAAACTCCAAGGTCAAGGTCAAAGAGTCAAAGGTCTTGCTATCAAGTGTAAGGTCTTTTCACAAGGAATACACATGTGAAATAAGAAAGTCATAGCTTCACTAAATCAAAAGTAATGGGCAAGGTTAAAGTTTTTGTGGACAAACAGACAGCTAGATAGACACACAGACTGACGGACATGACAAAAACTATATACCCCTGAAACTTCGTTTACAGGGGGGGGCATAAAAATTTAACCTGTTGACTCATCCAGAAAATGTAGATCAGATGCAGCATCCAAAGCAAGCTATAGTGGCACTGTGCATCCTTAGATGTTATGATGTATCATCTGTGAAAGTCTGGTCGACTTAGGGCTCAAAGTTACTTGGAAATGAGACACTAAAAACTTTAATAGGCACCAAAAACTTTAACCTGCTTCAAAAACAATGACATGATCATTCCTTTGCTGATATTGTAGGGCATAGAAGTACATGTACTTAATTAAAAAGAAAAAAATCTTTAACCTGGGATGTCAACACCAACACTGGGGGTATCACATATTATGTCTCCTCATCTTCTAACTTAAAATTCTTTGAACTGAGCTAAAACTGAGGAAGGCTTAATAACAAACCTAATTCTGCAAGATATTCTAAAAGGTTTTCACACATCACTCCAAAAGAAAACACATCCATAGTGTGGCCCATTTCAATAGTGACTGTTAGCTTATTAGCCTGAAAGTGCAAATGTGAACAGTATTACATTATTTTGTAAAAACAGGTACTTAATCTTTATGTTTATTATACATTTATTGACTGAGTTTCGAGGGCAACATGCATTTTGTCGGAGTGAAGAACCAAACTGTCTGCCTGAGGTCGTTAGGCCAAAGGCAGACAGTTTGGTTTGAGGGTCGACAAAACGCATTTTGCCCCAATAAATGTTTTGTTATACCTTTCCTTTTATTTTATTATTATATTTTGACATAAATTTATTTTGTACTGTCTTCCATGATGTAACAGCAGGTCTGTCACTGTGGAATTTCAATGAATGAAAATGAGATTAAGCTCCGCCCATTCTGTGACGTAAGTGGTCCAACATCTCATCGACCGGTCCAACATCTCACTCAGTGGTTTAACATCAACTGTTTTATGCCCGCTCAGAAAAACATTAGAAATGTTAGTCTTTTTTCATATAGATTTGTATAGGAACAAATTTTTAAAGGTATAACAAAAAATTTTGTTCTTTAGCATAATTCAAAAGTACAGTCTCACCTTCTCCTCTGGTGAAATACAGTCTGCATTTCGATATGGTCTTGAATTTTTCAGGAATTCAGGGGTTATTTCCAGGAACTTGCAGCAATGTTGTAATTCACCTATTTTCCAAGTCCCTATAGATGTCACATAAATAGCTTCCTGGCAAATATTATTGTGGGAAATTTTTGCCTGAATTTAAAGTAAAAAAATGTCATCATTTATAAAATTAAATGTATTTTGTTAGGGTTAGTTGTATTCTAATTATTAAGTAACTTTAACACACTATTTACATTTATTACATAAATTATGTTCACTACACACTTGTTCAAACAAGAAGTCTGTGAGCCAAGGCTTACTTGTACCAAGCAAACACATGTTCGACCTAAACATGTGTTTTGGTAGCTCCATTAGACAAGAAAAATTTATAGATCTGTGCATATTCGTTGCACTACCTGTTTTAAAGAAGCGAGGTGTATCTAACTCTCCATTCTATTTTTTTTAAAAGCTCCATAAGTTTAGTACATCACATGTTGCTAGTCACAAAGAGTGGGTGTTCTAAAGCTTTATGACAAATATTTCTTTCAATTTTCTAAAGAAATGGGTGTGTCATTAAGTAACAATTGACATCCGATAGGAAACACCCAAACTTTCCATCCATAAATTTTTTTTTAACACTTTAATGCACTTCATTATAACTGACATCCAATATGAACAAAAATGAATCCCACCATATGGCATGCCTCAACAGAGTGTGCTAAAATTTCAAGTATCTGCAATGAGTAGTTGCTACAGTAAAACTCAGTTATAGCGAAGTCCTGGGGACCTGTGAATTTAATATGCTATATCCATAATTTGTTATATCTGTTAAACGAAATCATATCTTAATAGCTAATTCACAATATGCAATTTTTCCTTCAAGTATTACTGTCGAATATGGTAGGAAGATTTTCATTTTGAATTACATTCATTTGGAAATTCTTACTAAAAAATAAAGTCAGTTCAACATATATTATATTGAAATTTTTGAAAATTTGTTATAAAGATGTAAATTTCATTACTTTTAAACTCTGCGAGACTTAAAAATAAGTTCCCTATATCCATAAATTCGCTTTTTCAGAGTTCGTTATAAACGTAAAATTTTGCAAAGAATTGTTAAAAATTTTGCCGAGGACCCCAAAAAACTTCGCTATATCAGTGAATTCGCTATATCCGTGTTCGTACTAAACGAGTTTTAGTGTATATGGCAATGCACTTTGACAAATTTACGCACTTTGAAAATTTTTTTCAAAGTGCGTTAAAATAAATTGGGACAAAATCAACGCACTTTTAAAAGAAATTTCAAAGTGCGTTAAAATTTGGGACCAATTCAATGCACTTTGAAAAAAATTTTAAAAGTGCGTTAAGAGTTTACATCTACATATTTTACAACTGAGAAACTTAACGCACTTTGAAAAAAAAATATGTATAAACCAAAAATTCTGGACTTTTAGTAATAGAATACATTGATTTATCTTTTGAAAAAATATGAATTGATTTACTCCCTTCAAGAAGAGGAGAAGACAGGTAGAAGGTCTCTCAGCCCTACTCTTTATCTTTCCAGGTCAATACACAAGTGTTGGTGGTAAATTAAATGGGGGAGGGAAGTAAAAAGGGCGAGTCTCAAATGGCACATTTTCAATGCCTATATGATGTATATCATTACAAAACAAGAAATATGTCCATAGGACATGAATGCCCTGCCAAGAGTATATTAGTAATGCAACATGAAAATTAGTATTAGTATAAGAAATTTGATCAGAATATCTTGAATAGTGATGTAGTTGAATTGTTTACATCAGTATGTATCAGCATATGAAGTTTGACACTAATTTCATTAAAGTAAGGTCAAGGTCAAAGGAAATGCAAAGGTCAAAAACTGTTGATGCAGTTGAAAAGCTCTCATCAGTTATGTATCAGCATAAGAAGTTGAAAAAATGTCATAAATTGTTTCTTTAAAACTGACTTAAACACAAATTGATAAAAGTGAGGTCAAGGTCAAAATGTTAATACAATTGAATTGCTTACATCAATATGTATCAGCTTATGAAGTTTGACACTAATTTAGGAAAAGTGAGGTCAAGGTCAAAGGAAAGGTCAAGGTAAAAAAATGTTAATGCAGTTGCATATCTTTCATCAATATGTACCAACATATGAAGTTTGATAAAAATATATAGAATGATTTCTTTAATTAAAACTGACTTAATCTTTGATAAAAGTGAGGTCAAGGTCAAATAAAATATACGAATATACTTGTATATTTATATATAAATATGAAGTTTGATGAAAATATCTTAGATAGTTTCTTTGAAACTGAGCTTTGAACAGAGCTAAATGCAAAGTGTGACTGAAGGACAGGCAGAAGGATGGAAGGACAGAAGGAAGAGCTAAAAAATGTGATGCTTTAAGTCGTTCACTTTTAGGCGCCCCCCCCAAACATCTACCGAACTTATTACAGACTAAAATTTTTAAAAAGAAACAAAATAATGATATTAAACAATCATCTCTCCATTTTTTATAACATTTAACAAAATTCAAAATATTTAAAACGTCAATATCTCAAGTCCTCAAGTGCTCTTATTAGTTATCAATTAATTATCATTCCGAAAAAATTGTAAAAACATAGATCAATCTATACACATTTTTTTGCGCTAACTTGCATTAACATGGTCAATATTAACGCACTTTGAAAAGAAATTTCACTTTTTCAAAGTGTGTTAGATTGGTCCCAAATTTAATGCACTTTGACAATTTTTTTCAAAGTGCGTTGTAACATTGCTAAGAAATCTGCGACGAAAATTTGTCATGGACAGACACACATACGGACGGCTAGACAGATGGACAGACACACAAGGGTAAACAGTACTCCACTCTCTCGGTATGAAAATAAGTTCACTTTTCAGGGATAAACCATATGAGACTGTGGTGAGAATGTCGCAGCTTTAACTGGTATGCACCTACAAGAATCTAAATGGAAAATCTAAACATATTTTTTAAGTTTTTAAGTAAAAAATAATTTATGCCAAGAAATCATTTATATATGTTGCCTTGTGTTTACTTTCATTATGTGCATAGAGGTGTCTCCGGGTGGTACTGTATAACACTGAAATTTTTCAAGATACAGGATACCAGAGGAAGGTATATATGCCAATGTCCTACATTAATACATGTAATACTGGTAACACTGGAATTATAGTTTTTGTTCTTCATGTAAACATTATTTGAGATGTTGATTCTAAATTTCCATCTATTGGTGTATTTCGCAATTCCAAAAAGCTAACGTATGTGTCTTTTCTATCAGCTTTGGCTTTTTTTTGTCATAATTTTCTTCACGGTTTGTATGGTCCATTCCATCTTTCCATTTGACTGAGGATAATGTAGTGAACTTGTAGTGTGTTTGAAATCATACTTCACTGAAAATTTCTTGAATTCTTCATTTGAAAATTGTGGTCCGTTGTTGCTCATAACTTCCTCTGGTATCCTGTATCTTGAAAAATGTTCTTTCAATTTCTTGGTAACACTTGAGCTCTTGGTTTATGTAAGTTTTGCTACTTCAAAGAATTTTGAAAAGTAATCCACTATGATAATGTGATTTTGACGATCTAGTTCGAATAAATCTGTACCAAATTTTATAGGCATTGAAAATTGGGATTTACCTTTTTTTGTTGGTTTAGCCCCCCCCCCCCCCCCCCCCCCCCCACTTTCGATTAGCCCTCCCACTTTCAATTTGCTTCTGACACCCATGCCGCTACTTGTAATAAGTTCGGTGATGTCGGCATTAATTCCTGGCCAAAATAAAATATCTCTGGCTCTTGTTTGGTCTTTTCCAGTCCCATGTGTATGTTATGCAGTTGTATAAGCATGTCCTGTCTCAATGATTCAGGACAATCAGACGTTTATTTTTCGTTACATTTCCATCATAGCATCCGATTTCATCTCGGTAATTCCAGTAAGGTTTAACCGCTTCCTGGCATTTGGCTCTAGTGTCCGGCATCCCTCAAAGACAACTTGTATCAATTGTTGCAGTTTAACATTGTTTGCCATTTCCGTTTTGAATTTCTCCATCTTCTTTTCGTTTACAGGCAAGTATTCCAGGGTATGTATTTTGAATTTGTCTTCATCCCTCTCTGTTGCTCTGCTTAAGGTGTCAGCAATATAAAGTTCTTTGCCTGGTTTATACTTTACATATAAATTGTAAACGTGTATCTGCAGCATCATTCTTTGGATTCTAGGAGGCACTGTCGCAAGTGGTTTCTTAATTAAACTTTGTAATGGGTTATGGTCAGTTTCAACGTGACGCATTTCCCATAGATATATTGGTGATATTTCAAGCACCGATGACAATAGAAAGTAGTTATGTCACCCCGAACGAAGTCGAGGACGACATATTACGATTGTACGCATGTTTTTGTTCTCCAGTCTGTTTCTCAAAGATAGCTGGGACAATATCCCTGAAACTTTCCTCAAAGGATGATCACTGGTTGTAGTTGTGTTGTGTGGTCATTCAGTTTCAAAATGGCTACCGTTCCCATGGACGCTTGCAAAAAGCGACGAATTTTGTCTACAAGTGTTCTCTCTGGTCCCTTGAACATTCGTCATGAAACTTTTTTTATTTCAGTGATTAGTACTTGTAGTTGTGCGATTCGCATTTAAAATTTTCAAATAAATGATTATTCCCATGGAAAGTAGGGGAAAGTGAAAAATTCTTGAACTTTGATTTTCAAATCAAAGTACTGAAACTTTGATTTTCAAATCAAAGTACTGAAAGGACTGATACAAATTGATGGTTGTCCAAGCTTAGCTAATGGGTATTGTTACAAAAAATGAAATTCTTGTCCAGTTCGGGGTAACATAGGCTATTGCAAGCAATAGCAGACTTTCTAGTTCTTTTTGTATTTGATTGTAGTTTCTTTCGGCTAGACTGACAGATTTTGACTCATAACTAACTGGTTGAGAATTTTGTAGCAAGCAGGCCCCAATTCCTTCTGAGGAGAAATCCAGAGATAACATGACATCATTATCTATGTTGTAGAAGTGTTATAGTGGTGCTTTGATAAGGCACTCAATAAGCTTCTTGTAACACTCTTCATGTCTTTTGTCCCAGTGCCACTGTATTTCCTTTTGTAGTAGATGACATAGGGGTTTATTCAGTGTTGCAAGATTTGGTATGAACTTTCCACCTTAGTTTACCATGCCCATAAATCATTGTCTATCCTTTTTGTTTGCAGGCATTTTCATCTCATTAATTACCTTTATTTTCTCAGGGTCTGGCTTCATCCCCTCTCTGCTGAAGATGTGCCCAATACACTTAACTTCAGGCAGTCAAATCTTGCATTCTGCTTTGTTAAAGTTCAAGTCTATTTTCCTTGCTTTTTAAATTTGCAACACTGGATTCCCTATTGTGGCACTGCCCTACCCCCGGGGCCATGACCTGAACAATTTAGAATCTACAGTTCCCCAGGATGCTTCCTCATAACTTTCAGCTTTTCTGGCCCAGTGGTTCTTGAGAAGAAGATTTTTGAAATCTTCTCCTATATTTCTATGTAAAGTTTGGATTCCCTATTGTCCTACCCCGGGGAGGGGGGGGGGGTGTCAAGATTTGAACAATTTACAATCTACATCACCCCAGGATGGTTTCACATAAGTTTCAGCTTTTCTGGCCCATTGGTTCTTGAGAAGAAGATTTTTAAATTTTTTCCCTATATATTTGTATGTACAAATTTGATTCCTATTGTGGCCCCGTCCTACCCCCAGGGGTCATGATATGAACAATTTAAAATCTACACTACTCCAGGATGCTTCTACATAACTTTCAGCTTTTCTGGCCCAGTGGTTCTTGAGATTTTTTAATGACCCCACCCTATTTTAGTATTTTCTTGGTTATCTACCCTTGGAAGGGGACTTGGCCCTTCATTTTAACATATTAAATTCCCCTTCACCCAAGGATGCTTTGTTCCAAGATTGGTTAAAATTGGCCCAGTGGTTCTTGAGAAGAATTCAAAAATGTGAAAAGTTTACAGATGGACAGATGGACTACAGACAAAATGTGATCAGAAAAGCTCAACTGAGCTTTCAGCTCGGGTGAGCTAAAAATGTGGAAACTTACACCAACAAGACTGTGAACAAGTCAGGAATGAAAAAAAAAAACAATGGAAATTTGAATCAAAAAACCTCACTTTAGCTTTGGCTCATGTGAGCAAAAAGACATAAAACCATACAAGGACATTTGGTCCATTAAAAATTTTACCCATCTGACACCATGCACTGTACAATCAGTCAGGTCTAACAGCTAGTCTACAATCTTTTGCATGGACTGAAAAACACTGTACCTGTTCATGGAGAAAAGACAATCCTTCCATTACACCATGAATTCCAGCAGTGATTTCTAAAGGTTCTAAAGTGTCTAGGAGAAATGTTAGTGGTGTGGATCTTTCAATGACTAAGTGAAGTTCAGTAGTCAGTTCAGCTACACTCAAATACTTTAAAATATAGGGATGTCTGAGACTCTTCATAAACTGAAAGTACATTAGGCAAAAAAAAAAAATATTAAAAGGCTTCAAAGGAGTCAAACATGAACAAGAGGTCCAAGGACCTGAGTCTGTGGTTAGGAAACAAGAGGCCCAAGGGCCTTGAATTGCTCTTCTGATAAATTGTACAATCTATCACTCAATTTGAAGCCTCAAACTCTAAGTATCCAATGACCCATGATGCATCAACTGACAAAGTTTGATGAATCTTAGCCAGTTAAAACTGAATATAATTTAATATAGCTATAAAATACCATTAGAAGATCATGGTGACCTACTTTTTGATTGAAATTTTCTGAGGACTCAAGATGTATTAACGGACAAAGATTGATGATTCTATGCTAATAAGTAATTGAGATATTCAAAAGTAGGTCACTGTGACCTAATTTTTGGTCGACATTCTCCGAAAAACTCAAGGTGCATCAACTAACAAAGTTTGACAATTCTAAGCCAATAAGTACTCAAGATACTTTAATATAGCCATAAAATGTCAGAAGTAGGTCACCATGACCTACTTTCTGGCCGACAATCTCCGATAGTTTAAGATCCATCAACTGACAAAATTTGATGATTCTAAAGTCAAAAAGTATCTGAGATATTCAAAAGTAGGTTACAGTGACAAACTTTTTGCTCAACATTCTCCGAAAACCCAAGGTGCATCAACTGACAAGGTTTGATGATTCTAAGCCAATAAGTATCCAAGAGCTACTTAAATATAGCCAAAAAATGTCAAAACTAGGTCACGGTGACCTACACTTTGGAACGACGTTCCCATAAACCTATTAAGATGCATCAAATGATAAAGTTTGATGATTCAAAGCCAATAAGAACCTGAGATACTTCAATACATGTATAAGCATTAAATGTCAAAAGTATGTCACTGTGACTTTTGGTCGATAATCTCCGAAAACACAAGATAGTACCTGAGATATTCAAAAGTAGGTCACAGTGACCTACTTTTTCGTTGACATTCAATCCAAGATTCTTTAACTGACACAGTTTGACAATTCTAAGCCAATAAGTACCCAAGATACTTAAATATGGCCATTAAATGTCAAAAGTAGGTCACCATGACCTACTTTTTGGTCAACATTCCCCAAAAACCCAAGATGCATCAACTGACAAAGTTTGATGATTCTAAGCCAATAAGTACCTAAGATGCTTAAATATAGCCATAAAATATCGTATGTAGATCAGTGTGACCTACATTTTGGTCGACATTTTCCGAAGACCCAAGTTGCATCAACTGACAAAGTTTGATGATCATTAAGGTCAAGATCTAGTAAATAACTTGAGACTAATTTTTTGGCGCTAGATCCATTATGACGTCATAATCAATTTCAACTTTCTTTATCCCGTACTTTATGGCTTTAGCAGAATTATGTAGAAAATGGGGTATTTTCATGTCATTCAATTTGAAATCATATGAAAAGTAAACCAGATACCTATATTAAATTTGATATTGATTTAAAGAAGAAGCCTAGAACATACTAATTACCGTTTTCTGAGAGACTGTAGGCAATCTGGATATATTTCCTTTGCCGAATTTGAAAAACACTCCCATATTCATGACTGATTTTCTTAATTTTTCATTGAAAATGACAGTTTAAAATACAGTTTTTCATCTTATTTACCTACAATTTATGCCCTGAAACACCTTATTTGACCCAGCTAAAATTGTAAAGCATCAATAAAGGAATTTATTTCTCAAGTTTGATGAATCTGTAGGCACCTTTCATTTACTAGATCTTGACCTTAATAAGGTCTGAAAGTATTCAAAATATGCCTTTTAAACAATTTGAAATCAAATGCCTGCAAAATTCAAAAAGTAGGTCACTGTGACCTACTTTTTCAAAAATATGGTTTAAGGCCCCAAGATGCATCAAATTACAAGATTTGATGATTCTAAACCTCTCAGTGTCTGAAATAATGGGATTAAATTTTTTCGAAAAGATTAGCCATAAAATTCAAAAAGACAGTCATGGTGACCTACTGTTAAGTTGACGTTTTAAAAGAACCCAAGAAGTATCAACTGTCAAAGTTTGATGATCATAGGCCTTAAAGTGTCCAAATTCATGTTTCATGTTAGATCAATTATGGAGAAATTAAACGTTTAGGAATTAAATATGCATGATAAAAGGGAATAATATGTAAAATTGAATATATGTTGTAACTGTTTGATATTGACTGAATTTTACCCATTCATAATATTATTTCGTCATATAATCCTGCACGACATCTGAATTGAAAGCGTAAGTTATCACCATCACTATTTACCTATTTGTTATCACATATGAACATAAATTATCATGAAAACAGTTTTAGAACTTTAATCTATCAATTTGAAGAAGACTTTAAGAAATCAGCCTTTTAATAGTATAGGGTTCAAGCCTAGTATTCCGACGGTCCAATAGTCCGACAACCAACTAGTTTGACGGTCCGATAGTCTGACAGCCCAGTAGTCCGACGGTCTGATAGTCAGACGGCCCGGTAGTCCGACATTTTCACCATCACCAATATTTTTGATAGAGTTAAAATTATTCCTATCACACATCATTTCAAGGAAATTACGAACTCCAACCAAAATTGACCTAAGTACAAGTGTAACACTTGGTGTAAGGGTTAAAACAAAAGTTTAACTTTTCATTCCCATGGACCGAAAGATCAAGCCCATAAGGGTGCGTGTATGTGTTTTGTCTGTCTTCCATCTATTTGTTTGTCAACTATAACCTGCAAAAAATAGCGTTTTGAAAATTACAGTCGCCGGGGAGGGGGTGGGCTGTTTCAACAGAAAACTGTAAGAAATTATTCACTCGAAGGAAATGGATAATTTAATTTGCTGTCTAATTTCCATAATAATTACAATTGAATGTTTTAGTATTCATATGAAAAAAGATTTTTCTACTTATTTTAAACAGCTTATAAAGAAAGGACTGTCTGTAAATCAAACAATCAAAATCACTTCAAAGATATAAAAGAGGAAATTCGTCTATAGAAACCGTAGCTTAATAAATTTCGAATCGGTGATTGTTTTATTTGAACGAAATACTGGTAACATACATGTTTATCTTCCACTTATATCATACTATTATCTCAGACAAGCCATATATAACTTTAAGAATCACTAATACTGAAATATTTTCTGCCATACAACCAGGGACGTACGTAGCATTATTTTTAAAAAGGGGACAAAAAACAAAATTCAAATTATATGAGGAATATAGTTAATAATTGTGTATGAGGTCAACATCTGATTTGTTGGCCCTAAAGTTGAAAATGTTGGCCTGAGGCCTCGGGCAACATTTTCACCTTCACAGGTCCAACAAATCATATGTTGCCCAAATCCCAGTCTATAACTGTTTTGTTATACCCTTCAGTGCTCACTTTTGATTCAATCAATTCACACTATATTATCAATTACTTTATATGGAAAATCATTGCTTAATCAGTAAATATAAAACAATAGCTGAGAAAGAAAATTAATATTTTCATTATACACATGTATCATAACAAGAAATGCTCACTAGTGATACCGGTACCCCTGCTCTGATGTGAATAAACATTATCATGTGAAAATACACAAGTTCAATTACGGGCAGATGCACAGAAAAATATGAAGTTGACATCAGATTCATATAAAAATTAATCCCACCATATAACATGCCTCAACAAAGATTGTGTTAACATTTCAAGCATCTGCAATGAGTAGTTGCTAAGAAAACTGCAACGAAATGTTGTTATGTATGAAACGGACAGACACACAGACAAACAGGAAGTTGTCATCGGATTTAAACAACAAGAGGCCCACGGGCCTTATAGGTCACCTGAGTATCATGTAACAACTTTCCAGCGATTGTATTTGGTTCGTGTTTTAAGCCAAAAGCCATGAAATTCACAAATTTTGAAAGAGGCACCATTGCTTATCAAAGGGCAGATTTCAAAGCATTAATTTATTTTTAGTCAAAGTACCCCCCTGGTACCCCTGACCCAACGGCCCTGAAATTATCTATTTTGAAAGAGGCCCCTTTCTTCATTATAAGGCCAGCATTTTTGTTTAGGTTTAGTTATGAACATGAGAATAAAAAAGTCCCGAAGGAGAAGGAAATAAAAAAAAATTTAATAAATCAATTATTAACATTTGTACATTCTTTTTTTATGCTATCCTAATAGGCTCCTAAACACTGGACACATAATGCTTACAAATAGGAAAAAAGAACATTTAATTGCTTATTTCATCATCTGCCAGTTTGGGCCAGTTATATGACTTTTGTGATGTTGATCAAAATATATTTTAAATAAGCCGGCTATTGCTCTTTGAGCAATAAGCCCGGCTAAAAATCAATTCTTTAAAAGTCTTTCAATATATCTTCATTTTTTTAATATGTGTTAGGTGAATGTGTAGACATTGTTCTAAAATTTACTTGATGCCTAAAATTATAATTCCTATCATAAAACAGACAGGGAGTATTGCAAAGTAGGGTGAACATTTTTTCAATTAAGTTTAAAATAATTTTTCTGGCTGATACAAATGATACTACATGCCTGTATATATTTGTATATTCTTGCCTTTTAATAGTTGAATTTTTTAAATTTCTTCAGGTTATTGTTTATTTCTTCCTCAAATGGACTTAACTTCTCCCATAGTTTTATTCATTACATCTGATGCATAAGCAACCCTTTTCTAAAGAATGGTGCTTAAACTGTAAGCTATAACAGAGACCTAAACAATGTCGCTGGCAATATGCAATAGCTACCACGGGCAGTTTAAAACCTGGGGGAGGAAAATAATTTACAGTTACTTTTGAAACGAATACATGATTATCTCACCAGCATGTCATTGTGCAACAAAGTCGTCAGCATTTTATTTGTCCTTTGAACGGGTGAAACGTTTTGAATGGCACTCTTATCGATGAATTTTACACTAAACCAAGCTATCTTCTCAGATCTAGCTTTATTTACCCGCCGTTTCATCGTAAAACCGGAAGTGCGAGTTCGTAAATTTGAAATCTCGATCCCGACTAAAATTTGACATCGGAAAGAAAATTTTTTATATTTTTTTCTGAAAATTCAAAACCTTGAGCGGAGGGTTTGTAAAACTGAAAATAAAATAAATCCTGGCCTTAAATATGTAATTAGATCATTAGCATATTGACCAGGAGCAAAGGATAAGATGTTCGAAGAATTCATGCATTTCACTATATAATCATTAGAGCCCCACCCTAAAACAAGAACCCCTGTCCCTGGGGCCATAAAATTCACAATTTTGGTAGAGGCACTCTTGCTCATCATAACTATGCACTTAGTTAATCTACTTAATACCCAGGAGCAGAGAAGAAAATTTTCAAAGAATTCATTTATTTTCACTATATAATCAAAAGAGCCCCGCCCTAACACCAGAACCCCTGACCCTGGGGCCATAAAATTCACAATTTTGGTAGAGGCACTCTTGCTCATCATAACTATGTACTTAGTTGGTTTATTTAATACCCAGGAGCAGAGAAGAAGATTTTCAAAGAAATAATGCATTTTCACTATATACTTATTTAGCCCCACCCTAGCACTAGAACCCCTGACCCCAGGGCCATGAATTTCACAATTTTGGTAGAGGACTTAATGCTGATTACAATCATGCAAACAGTTTGACTGCTTGATGTCCAGGAGTAAAGAAGAAGATTTTTAAAGATTACACAAATTTTAGTGGTTTTGGCCCCACCCCTCAGGCCCTAGGGGGGCAGGGATCATGAAATTCATAATATTTGTTTCCCTTCAGCCATAGATGCTTTGTGCCAAATTTGGTTGAAATTGGTTCAGTGGTTGCAGAGAAGAAGCTGAAAATGTTCAAATGTTAACGCACGACGCACGACGACGGACGAAAACAGATAGCAATAGGTCACCTGAGTTTACTCAGGTGACCTAAAAATGAATCCAACAGTATGGTATGCCTCATAAAAGATTGTGTTAAGATTTCAAGCATCTGCGATAAGTAGTTGCTGAGAAAACTGCGATGAAAATTTGTTATGTATGAAACGGACAGACGCACAGACAAACAGGAAGTTGACATTGGATTTGAACAAAAATGTATCCCAAATTTCAAGCATCTGTGATGAGTACTTGCAGAGAAAATTGCGACGAAAATTTGTTACGGACAGACACACAGATGGACAGCTAGATAGACGGACGGACAGACACACAAGGGTAAAACAGTATACCCCCTCTCCTCCGGAGCGGAGGTATAAAAATTATTTATCACAAAACATACTCTATCCTTCTTCCTTTCCTTGCTGGTAGCAACATTTCTTGCAGCTCTTAACTTCGGCTATTTCCGTGTGGCCGATATTGAACGATGATTTATTACTTGTGAAGTAGCAGTGACATTGCAGTCTAACAATTCTTATGTTGGACCGGCAGGCCCGTCAACAGTGAAAATGTTAGACCAATGTAATAAGCACTCTTTTGTTAGACTTTTTTTTTTGTAATAAATAAATTATATTATAGAAAGCCATTTATATGGGTATAACAAAAAAATATTAAAAAGCTATATATCCCTGATACTTTGATTACCAATTAAAAAAAACCAATTGAAAGCAAAACCTATTTTATGGGGGGATGGGGGGTGGGGGTTAATAATGCTTCATACTTAACTTTCCATACCAACCATGCACAGCACAGGTTAATTCTTCCCGTTTTCTGCTGTACGAATTAGTTATATGTAACCACAAATTATCGGGCTGTCGGACTGTCAAACCGTTGGACTATCAGGCTGTCGGACCATCGGACCATCAGATTACTGGGCTATCGGGCTGTTGGAATACTGGGCGGCCACCATAGTACATGTAATACGGTAAAAAAAAGTCTTCTCAAAACAAACCTGTTAGTATCTCTGCTCCGCCGCGAAAATTGTGCAATTTTTAATAAAATAAATACGATCTAAGTGTCTTGGAAGTAAAATTTAAGCACTTTATTGTAGGCATAAAATTTAAATCAAGGAGACAATAAATCAAGTTAAGAAATAAATTCTTACCGAATGTATTGAATCCAATGTCGTATATCCAAAATCACTATATGCAAGAGTACGAAGAGATACCACTAAATAATTTAACAAGTGCAATTATTTATTCAACAAAAATTAAATCCAGTTACAGTTTACTAAATACAGCCATTAACGTTTGTTTACATTGGATGCCATTTTGCCGCAATAGACGAATTTCACATTCCTAAGAGTTATCTTCCATTGTCGGCGTAACGCTCATTTTTCCCCATTTTCTCCTTTGTAAGTTACCTGTTAATATTTTTAATCTTCAAAGGTTATCGGGAAATTTCGATCTGTACCTCACTACCTGTATTGCCAGAGTATGGGGCAACATGAAAAACATAATTAAGATATCCATACAGATTTTATTTCTGAGATACTGGACCCATAAAGTTGGTAAGGTTATAGAGGGAAAACAGTATCTTACAGCAGTTGAATCCTGTGAAAGTCGTCTACTGACAGAGCCAAAGACTTCCTGTATTGCCAGAGTATGACTGAATTTACGTGTGCGTAGATAGCGTTTTAACATCGCAAGTGCGCCCGTAAACATAATTAAGATATCCAACTACAGATTTTTTTTCAGCTACATTTCTTCAAATGAATCAAGAAGAAATATTAATTGAAATGAATTGACAGCATAATTAATCTTTTAAAATAATTATTCGTAAAAAAAAAATAATAGAAATATGATGGTGTTTCTTGATTTTCAAAATAATTTTGCCGACAAAAAATTCGAGGTGTTTTTTTAAAAATTGATTTCAATTAATTTGCTATCAAATAAATAAGCAATTAGTATTTATTTCTCAAAAAAAAAATCAGAATAGATCAGTTGCGATTTTTAATTTTCCATTTAATTTAGAAATATAATCCTAAAATGGGAGAAAGATATTGAACATTTAGAAGCAGGTATGAACCAAATAATTGGATATACATGTATTTCTAAAAAATTTTTTTACCTTTTTCCAGGCAGTTTGCATACGATTACGAGTTAGGTTAATAACTTTTTTTTGAAAGTAAATTCCAATTTTTTTGTTCACTACTACATTTCCTTGATATTACTATGTCGAGACATTTTCAATAGTAAAGGTAAGGTTGCCATAATGGGAAAAAAGTGGGGGGGGGGCTCTGCTACGTGCCTGCATTTTGAAAAGTTTATACAGTACATGTATCTGCGCGCTACACATGACTGCCAAATTTAAAACACGCATTGAAAAATAAAACTCTGAAAAAAAATCCTCTTTATATATCTCCATAAATAGCTGAAAATACCTGGGGTATTTTTTATCGTGCATTATACGTCTTTAGAGAATGATAAAAAAAAAAATACTTTTTATTATTATATTTTTCTTAATTACAATATGCAATATTGGTTTGCTGAAACTTTCTCTAATTTCTTTTCTGTAAAAATTTGAAAACAGAAAAACGACAAATTACAATCTACCCTCATAGATTGTTAATTTTAATTCTCTCTCTCTCTCTCTCTCTCTCTCTCTCTCTCATATCTAGTTTTTTTCTTATTTTATCAAAGTACAAGGAGGCCATGTATGTAATTTTCGATAATATGTCACAGAAATTAGCACATGATCCGTGATTTTTTTTTTTTAGATTGTATTATGTAACATGTCTGCATAAAATTATTATAAAACAATCTTTTACAAGAGGTGCATTCTTTTTTGGATTTCCAAATTATGACGTAATTTTCTATATACATTGCGTAAATTCTTCTATGACGTCATATGGCTCCGGGAAAAAAGATCTCTGTCATTTTTACCGGATAAAATTTTGCATTTTTAAAATAGTTTTCTTCCGTAAAGATGTACTTGTACATGTAGGCTTCATATTTATAGGTGTAACATGATAGTAAAATGAATTGCAAGTGCTCACATTTCATAAGCGATTGAAATCGAGTTTTCTGTTTGTTTGTTTTTTTTTCAACTTTGTATTCTCTTAAAAAATCATGTGACAACGTAATACCAATTTAACATGGGATCCCCGATTTAACGAGTCCTTCTTTTTTTCTTTTTACTATGGTACAATATATAAATTTAATAACTGATTCTGTACCCCCTCCCTCCCTCGCACTTGTGCCTATAAGGTTTTAAAACAACAAATCCTTTTATAAATACTCTAGACTTTAAAATTTATTGCGTCATTTTTTTTTTATTTTATCTTTACGTAAAATTTCGATTCAATTATTATTCGATGAAACTCCAGAAAAATCAAAATAAAAATTGTGAAATGAGCATCGTATTAATGAAAACAATAATGACTTTTATCCCCAGAAGATACATTCAGATTAAAGTACTAGTCATATTTATAAAGTTAGAGTAATATTTATAAGGCTACGTGTTTTTCTACGACTGCTATAGGGCACACGTAGATTTTCACATAAATCTACGTCAAATCGTAAGATACGACTTTTAGTAAAACGCAAAATTGGCGTAAGTTACGGCTACGTCTACGCTTACGTCTACGTTTTGACTTACGACCTTTAGTAAAACTGGCTACAGGCTGCTTTTGGAGTTCTTCTAGACTGGTTTGAAAACATTTTTAATATCATATTTTCATCAAATGAACTTTAAAGTACGCTATGCAGTATTGAGAAAAATAAAAAACATGTTTATGAGTTAATTCAATGAAAAGTGAACGGTCATAAACATGGTGCACAAAAGCACAAAATAATATTTGTAGAGCTGTAAAAATGAACTGCGCTCGCTCTAACGGTTTCACCGTCGAACATACAGACTAGTTAACATTTTGCACCTTAATATTCTTCTGTAGCAAACTCCATTTCTTCTTGTTGTTTTTTGCCTCCGACAGGACGGTGACGTCTAGTTCCCCATTGGCATTGTATTTCCCGTGTCGTAAAGACCAGGTGCATTTTAAAGTATCTGCTGGTTCGTCTAACTCGCAGTCTTCAAATAAACTCGTTTCTGCGCCCATTTTCTTCCTTAGACCGTCAATTGATCAATTTTTGTTGATCAGCCTGGTAGTTATGAAACCGGAAATTTAACATCTTACATAGTGTTAAAATTTTAGGTAACATACATATTCCGGATATCTGCAGAACTTTACCTTGACCATATAAAATCAACATGTCATTTCAGTTTATGTCTTTGGTATTGGCTATTTCACTGTAGGAAAGCGGGTGATCGTAATATATACAGTCATTTTACCAGTAAATTGTAACGAATATTTGCCAGTATCGAATTTTTTTTTATTTTTAAATATTCTAGAATTAAAAGAGAAAAAACTGCTTCTTCTTACACTCGCTCTCTCTCTGTTGTATTTACAAAAGGTTGTGGCAAGTTGAATATTATAATTCACCACGTGATATCTTTCCTCAGGTAATTTTCACGGGCTTTTAATTGGGGTTTGGACCCCCCTTCCATTTTTTCTTTTTAAATCTGGGATCAAGTCTTTTTCTTTTTTTTTCTTCATATTTTTGTGTTCTGATATGCACTATATGTAATCGATTATGTTGTAACCCTTTCGTTTCTATAAGCTGTTTTAAAATATATCCGTTTTCGAATGCATCAGTCGAAAACGATTTATTTTAAAACGTACACTGCATCTTTGAGGCACTTTTATAAAAACATTAACTATAAAATCTTTCAAAACAAAGAAAGTCTACAAAGGAATTATTTTATCCTATCTTTCAAATAGTTTCAATTTCAAAACCTTCCAACAATTTTTTCTTTTTTGTTTTACGCAGAAAACCGATGATCCGGAAGTATTACATGTGCATGCAGTATTTTTTTTTAATGACACAGAATGTTTCTGACTACATTTCATTAAATTCAAATTATTTTATTTTTTACAAGAAATATACAAATGAACCAAATCAACAGAAATTAAGAAAAAATTGAGGAGTTAAATATGTTTTGCACAACCGTTGCTTAAATTATAAAAGAAAATTTACAAGGCATTTCAGTCGTGACTGCTGCAAAAAGGTACTTTAAACAAATTGTTGCAAAATCATCTGATTGCTTGAGAGATGTGTACTGTATCTGAGATAAAGGGTGGATTTCGCACCCTCGTCCTAAATGTTAACAAAAATATCTCAAAAAAGTAGGCACTTGTGTTGTAGAGTTGGATTTCCCCCATAGCCAACCCCCCCCCGTGAACCGTAAATCGTACTCTAGAGTAGAATTTTCCTCCGAGGGGAAATCTCACACCAGAGCCAAATTACTCCTTCTCTTTTTCTCAGAGTAGGATCCTCATCCCTTGTTATAGAGTCTATATAAACCACAGCCGCATTATTATAAAATACACGACAAATAGATTTTTAAATGGTAAATGTTTTTCAACTTATAGAGTAAGAATTTTCTATTTACATATTTCATATCATGGAGTCTCAACCCAAATGTTTAGCTTTCAAAAGAAAATCAAATCTAGAGGAAATAAATCCTTGTATTCACCTGGAACGTCACGAGCAGGTCAATACAACGTAGTATTTTTCTAACATAGTTGGATCTCAGCCAATCAGAGAGATGGAAATTATTCAATCATATATTTTAAATTTTAAAAAAAATAGCTCAGAAAGAACAAAATTAATTACATTTTTATGATATCACAAAAATTATTTATTACAAAACATACTCTACCCTTCTTCCTTACCTTGCTGGTATAGCAACAATTCTTGCAGCTCTTAACTTCAGGTATTTCCATGTCGCCGATATTGAACGATGATTACTTGTGACGTAGCAGTGACGTTGTGGCCAAACAATTCTTATGTTGGACCGGCAGGCCGGTCAACAGTGAAATTGTTAGACCGATGTAATAAACGTTTCTTTTGTTGGACTTTTTATTATTAATAAATGTATAGAAAGTTTTTTAAGGATATAACGTAATATATCGGAAGATTAAGCCAATTGTTATGATAAATTATACATGTACATATAGAAATATTTATACGTCTGAAACCGCCTGAAGCTTATAGAGGCTATCTGGAAAACAAGAAAAATGATTGAACAGATACATGTATTACATTGATATCGATATAATCATGCATACCAAGAGCTTTAAAAAACGTCGTATTACATTTTGCTTCGATATCAACGCAAAATATAACAACGATGTAGTGATCGCACATTTTCTTGAGTAGAGTGTTCAAAAAGAATATTTCTCACAAATTTAGCAATAACAATTCATGTCGTTTGTGTGGCGTTTTTAAGCCATTTGCATTTGAACAATGGTGAACAGAAAAAGAGAAAATGATACTTTTTTTCAAACAAAAATTAATCATGGATCACGTGTATGTTCTTTGCAAAATAATCATATTCATGATATTAGGTCCACTGGAAGCAATTTACATGAAAAACGTTCGCGTAAACTGACGTCATTAATTAATTGTGACGTTGATAACGTCTCTCTTAAATCATAATGATATTGTGGAGATATATTGTATTTAGACATTTTGTATCTACAATACTTGGAGAAAGCATGGAAGCGGTCAAGAGTTTTGGAACCCTCTGGCATCTGTGTTTGTTTGTCTGGTCCTCGATTTTGATTGTAGTTGTGGGAGGACATGTCTCCACCTGGGTAAGACAGGTGAACAATGGACTCTTCTTATTTTCCGTCTCGATGCTTCTTTTATATTATTACTTCCTTAAGAACTTAAAGATTTCTCGACGAGTGTGGTTTCGAAAAATTAGAAACTTTGCCAAGATCCTTTTGTTTGCAACGACACCGGTATTTTTCGTCTTAAACATGTGGATCCCTATTCAGAGGAAAGTTTCCTGTACTTTTAAATTCTTCTATCCCACAGACTACGACCCGAGTAAAGAAATTTGTCCTTACATGTCCGTATTACTGGCTTCTGTGTTCACGGTACTTGTAATGGTTCATGAGAAAAAAGAACCCGAGGAATATAAGGAAAGCGGTAAGATGAAAGCTGTAACAAGAAAAAACTAAACGGAAAAAAATGATTGAGAGAAATCGTATATCATAACCTAGCTGGAGGTAAGGGGATTATGACAGAAGGAGCCAAATACCATGAAAAAGTAAAAACGAAGGCCTCTTATGTAATGTAATGTACAATGAAGAGACGTACTAACCTACATTGTTTGGAAAAACATTTTGAAACTTCAATGCACGTCAAGATCTCCATAAAGATTGACGACCACGACTGTATACGCTTGCATCTGGACTTTAAAATATCTAATATGTATGATTATTTTTATGTTTATTTTATTAATGTATATACTGGTGTCTCATTATATCGCGGTACTTAATCCTTTTGCATCAAAAGTGTTATTCCAAATTTTTACTTTTAACTTGCATCAAAAATATTATCAAAACATCTATGGATATCACTTAGTGTAAAAAAAATGTCGTTTAAAATTATTGTCTATTTTTTAAAACAGGAAGTCATTTACCTAAATTGGAGAGTCTTGTACGCGTATATACATATATAGTAGTAGCCATGGATATAATTTTATTTTTGAATTTATTATGTAATTCTACAAAAAGTAATAAATATACAAACTTGTTCACGATTTTTTTTTAGCTATAGTAATAATTTTTAATGTTATATTGATGCTTACTTAATAAAAACGTATGATTATCTGAAAAATTATGTTAAAGAAATTTTTTCAAACGGATGTTCCAGCGCTAATCATAAAAAAGTTTAGCCATTTATCAATGTTAAAAAATAATTATTAATGGGAATTTTTGCGACATACCGCGTGACAAAAATTGTGTAAATGCAATAAAAACCTTTTAATCAGTTTGGTTGATTACTTAAAATGAATAATCTTCCCAGCAATATTATCAAAACATCCCTGAATATCACTAAGCTTACAAAAAATGTGATTAAAATTGAAAAGTACTTATTTCATTAAAGTTCAAACAATGCAAAAGCAGTCTTGTACATGTATATACTATATAGTGTAGCCATTATATAATTAGTGCAATTTTTTATGTCCAATAAAATTCTTGAAAGTTTTTTTCAGCAGTAATAATGTTAATCCTTTATTGATTTACTTTACGAAATATGATTATTGGCAGCAGAACAGTTAAAGAATTTTTCATAACTTAGCCCCAGCGCTAAATAAAATTTTAGCCATTTATCAAATGTTAGAAAAATAATTATTAATGGGATTTAAGGTGACAAAAATTGTGTAGAAAAATAAAGATAGTTACAGAAAGATGGAAATTTGAATATCAAAGTAAATTTACAATTTCTTAGTACATATATTTTTGAAATTTATTTTTTTTAATCATTTACAACCAAAAATGTCCAAAAAAAGATTCCCATCTATACAATCAGTTTTTGTTTGTATCATCTGTCCTTAACAGGATAACAAACCTGTTATTATACCCCCGCTTGAAAAGTGGGAGGGTATACTGTAATCGGTATGTCAGTCCGTCTGTTCGTCCGTCTGTTACGCTTTAGGGTACCCATCTCTTATCCGCAACTCCTCTTATACCACTGAGTGAAATTTAATGAAACTTTATTACATATTACCATTGTGCACCTCTTATTTTACTTTTTGATCCGACACATATTTTGGGTTTCCCGGCCACAGCAAAACATGGACTTTGTCATCAGTTATAACCATATGGGAGGCGGGGATATCATTTAGTGAGCTCATTGCTCACAGTACCTCTAGTTATATAAACAGCATGAAATGCAAAAATTTTGACTCAAAGATTGAATGATTGATTGATTCCTCCCGAGAACTTTTCACTAATATGGAGACGCCACCACTTGCCGGTGGAGAATTGCAAACTTTGCCCTACACTCGGCACCTAGGGCCATTGAGCAGTGAGGGATCTTTTTTCGTGCCAGCACCTACTGCAACACGAGACTCCACGTCCCACAGTGGGATTCGGACCCGCGGCGTAAGGATCAACTTCACTCAAAGAAAACCATTGTCAACTGAGGCGCAACCAATGTTGCCATAGTTTTCGAAGGGTGAAAAATTTCCTTTTCAATGTTTTTAATTCAGTGTTACAATTAACTACATGC